TTCACACTAAAATCAGGAACAAGACAAGGATGTCCACTATCATCACTCCTGTTCAATATTGTTTTAGAAACATTACCAAAGCAATTAGACAAAAGAAAGAAATAAAAGGAAAAAAGATAGGAAATGAAGAAGTCAAATTGTGATTACTTGCTGATGACATGATACTCTATATAAAAGACCCCAAGAACGCCACCAAAAGTCTTCCAGACTTAATAATCAAATTCAGTAAGGTAGCTGGATACAAGGTCAACACACAAAAATCAATAGCTTTCCTCTACACGAACAACAGACTCACTGAGAGAGAAATAGGGCAAACAAATCCTTTCACAATTGCATCCAAAAAACTGAAATACCTAGGAATCAACCTAATGAAAGAAATCAAAGACCTCTACTCTGAAAACTACAACACTCTGAAAAAAGAGGTTGAAGATGATATCAGAAAATGGAAAGACTTCCCTTGCTCTTGGGTAATAAAAACCAATATAGTGAAAATGGCCATACTTCCAAAACTGCTATATGGTTTCAATGCAATCCCAATTGAAATTCCTACAGCATACTTCACAGAACTGGAGAGAACAATCCAAAAATTTGTTTGGAACAAGAAGAGACCTAATAGCAAAAGCAATTCTAGGCAAGAGAGATATGGCAGGGGGTATCACAACCCCAACTTGAAACTATACTACTAAGCTACTGTGATAAGAAAGCATGGTATTGGCAAAGAAACATACTGGAAGACCAGTGGAACAGATTTGAAGATGCAGAAACAACTCCAGACACACCCAGCACCTCATCTTTGACAAAGGAGCCAAACACTCTCACTGCAGGAAAGATAGCCTCTTTAATAAATGGTGCTGGAAAAATTGAATTTCAACTTGTCAAAGATTAAAACTAGACCTATATCTCTCACCATGTACTAAACTAAAATTGAAATGGATTAAAGATCTAAATATTAAAATAGAAACCCTGAACCAGCTGGAACAGAGGTTAGGTAGAACTCTTCAAGACATTGGGGTTGGAAAAGATTTTATGAACAAAACCTCAGTTGCCTGTGAACTAGCACAAACAATCAACAAGTAGGATCTCTTGTTATTAAAAAGCTTCTGTACAGCAAGAGAAACCACCAACAGTATGAAGACAAAACCCAAAATGTGGGAAAAAAATTCACCTGCTGTTCTTCAGACAAAGATCTACTATCTAGAATCTATAAGGAGCTTAAAAAAATCAGACCTCCCAAATTTATTTTTTTTGTATTAAATTCTTTTATTGGTACATTATAGGTATACAACACGATTACATTTCTCATTGGGAATTGTACCTTTACATAATGCATCTTGGTTCTTATTGTTCCCCCATTCCTAGCCCTCCCTTCACGCCCTCCACCCTTCCCTATTTACAAAGAATTTATTTCCATTTTTTCCATTTCTCATCATTTTTCCTTTCCATTCTTTCCTTTCCCCTGCCCCTCCCACTACCCCTACC